TGGTTTTAATATATATATATATATATATATATATATATATGGCACCGCTACAACCGGCAGTGCTCATGCGATACCTAGATGATTACTTGGCACTTTGGTCGCATGTAGTTTGTAAACCATATTGATGAAAAAATTCAATTCACGATGGAAGTAGAGGAAGGTGAGCGGTTACCGTTCCGGGACGTTGAAGTAATTCGCTCTAATGGGATGCCCAAAAATAAATAGTTCAGAAAGAAGTCCTTTGCTGGGATAATACTCAATTTTCGGTCCCATCACAATTACAGGCTAAAGATAGGAATAATAAGGAGCATAATCATCCGAAGCCTATGCCCAACGAATGCGGAATTCTGAGAAAATGAGCTGGACAAATTGACTAGGATATTCCTCGGCAATGGCTACCTTAGCGAAGTGATACAAAGCCGATGGCAGAACGGGGACTATGAAAGAACAGTAAGGACGATGAAGGATTCACAAAAGTGGATATGCCTACTTTCCTGTGAACTAACTCAAAAACCACGGCCAATATTGAGTAAATGGAATATTCAGGTGGTCATTAAAGAGAAATCAACACTTTTCACAAGTCTACCAACGCAACATGAAGGAGTAGACAAATTGGATTGTTCAGGAGTTTACTGTATATCATGCGGCGCCTGCGAACAGAAAAATATTGGCGAAACAGGGAAAAAAATTAGCAAACGAATCAAGGAACATCAGAGACTCTGCAGGAAAGATCAGAACTAGCGGAACTCATCGCACAGACTGGACGCGAGATAAATTGGAAGGCAGAAAGAATGGCCCCATACGGTGACAGCACAAGAGAGCGGAAGATTAAAGAGGCCATTGACATCCTTGGGGAGAAAAATCTAATGAACAGGAGATTGGAGGAAGGTAGTTAGCGATAACTTTTCCTACTCCCTAAGCAAACTTGAGGAAAACAAGACTAGAGCAAGACCAGCAAAGATGACCGGATTTATCGCTAACCGGAGGATAGAGGATCACGATGAGGAAAGAAGGGGACGGGGGTTCTAGGCAATCAAGCAAAGACGTCCCTGCGTGATGTCCGTTTCGAATAAACCAGTACAATTTTGAGGGCCTGGCAGTCAGGAAGCTAGGCGGACGGATTAGCAAACCATCACAGAACTTCGACATTATGGCCTAAATGTACTAGAAATCCACTTAAGATTCGAGTGAAAGCGGTAAATCAGAGAGATAAGGAACAGATCTACAAGACAATAAAGGTATCCGGGTTGGAGGCCCGAGTCGGATTAGCCGATAGAAAGAGAGGTCGGGGTGAATAGCAAGTGTGATGAGGCCACACTAGATTTACCACAAAAGGGCACACATTTTGACGAATAAACTGTAAATAATCAGAAGTTGTGATAGGGCGGGAGTTGGATAGGAGGGTAAGGAGTAGATAGATAGGCCAAGACAGAAAGAGGAATAATAGTGTAACTGTTTTCAGTGGAAAGTTTGTCGAGGTATTGATTTCATTTGTATCTTTGACGAGTTCGTAGCTTGGTGTGGAGAATGGCAAAACTCACTGCTAATGCCGACTACGATGCCGACGAAACGTTTGAGAATGTATCAAGTCCACTGTCTGATGCTGGGAATCATGTCAACTACTATTGCAGACGACTTCGGATTAGGTGCGCCCTTAAAGTCGCCCTGACAACAAGACCAAGTTGCGACGAGGTCAACCCACTTCTAGCTTTACCATGTTGCCAGATCACAAAATAATTATCCATATATCCAACAAACAATTTAGGAGCCAGAACTACCTCTATCCGATGTCTTCAGATAAGATTGATTTACGAATTTCTTCATCATCTACTTCCATACGAAATGAAAGTCTTAACATTAATATATATGCATTATTATTTAGCCAACCCTTTAGCTAGCAGCTTGTGATGGCAGGTAAGTGTCTTTAATGGATATAGATATATATAAAAATAATAAAATTAACATTATAAAGATGCGTCAATGGTTAAGAGACTTCGAACTTACTAAAACTGTTGAAGAACTATGGGGCCAACCTGGATACAAGAGAGCAGATGAACAATGATTCTGTAGAGGATCTACGCAATAAAGGGGAAAAGCAGATCCAGATGCTCGAAGCACAAGAAGGGCAAAGGAATTCAAAGCTGTAAATGATAACAAAAGTATATAATTGATAAATCCATACTAAGATTATAAGTTAAATTAGCTTGAAGTTGATGCTCAATGCAATCTCATGTAGAAGAAACAGACAAAATAGCATCAAATGATAACAGGGATGATTAAGACTAGATCATTTCAACAACAAAGAAGTTTTTAGTAGTAGATATGAAGAGCAAGATGGTGTAAAATTTTGTTTGGTCGCAATATCCTTTAGCTGCATAGTGTTGGTTAGACCTCGTTTTCGCAACTTGGTGAGAGCAACAGAAAGACTTTGTAGAAATTACCTTGTCATACGTGCTCTGCTACAGTATGAATGATGATTTCCAGCATCGGACCATTGGCTTGGTTCATTCCCAGACATCTCGCCTGCATCGTAGTCGGCATCGTCAATGAGAGGCGCCATCTTTTGCATTGAGTTTCAACTTACCACTGATAGGTTGTAACTCTGAGCTAAGGATGGCGCCTCTCATTGGCAATACCGGCTAAATATATGAGAATCTACCAGTTGACCGCATGACTAGGAACATTCCGTAAGGTTATGTCACTCTGACTAAATTGCGAAAACGAGTTAGATTCACATAAAGTGGGTTTCAAAACAATCAGCAAATTTCGAATAAGAGTATCTGTAAAGCTAGTTCACATAAGGTGATGAAGGAATGAAAGTTGAATTTTGTGACAATATGAGTAGGCCTCATGTTCCCATGTAATTTAACTTATTGTGGGGACTTTCATTCCGTATAAAGTGCATGATGAAGAGATTCGTAGGTCGATCTCACCAAAAGACTGAGGCTGATTACCGTTCTACTGCAGCTGTTTGGCCTTAATATGGCATTAAGGTCGACGCACTCAATGAGACATCCTCCCTCGTTTTGGGCAAAAACAGACTGAGCCCTTGTTCGTCATATGACGAATACTATCAGAGCTGGGACTCATTCTTGCAAGAGAATCAAGAAAAGCTATGTCAAGAAGGCTAACTGGGTCTGTCCTACATTTTTATATACAACGATTTAGACAGATGGATATAGAATGGTTTTGTAAGTCCTCTTATACTCAAATGTGTGCGTGTGGTAGTCTATGTGTGTTAACGCCTGTATGCAATACCGGCCATAACTGCGAGTAATAAGAAAAAAGCCTACTGTCACGTCAGCCATACCTCGCCACTCAAGAGTCATTAAGGTTCAAGGATCTAAGAAAAAGCATGACTGAGATTGCGTAATCATGTACGTCTGTTTTGGTTTAGAAGCTTCCCATACTTGTTAAACGAGTGCGAATTTAGTTAGAACTATTACTCAGCTGATAAGTTGAATCGCCTACTTTTGGACGGTGGCTCGACACCCTCTCTCCCTCCTTCAATCAAGCATAAGTAATTCTTACTTAACATTCTACCACCACTCCTCACATTCAAAGTATTCCCAAATCTAATCATTTCAACAGCTCCTCTTATCTTGTGTTTCGTGGCAGACATATCTGAGACCATTCCATCTCTTATCCAGTCTCCGCCTTGTGCTCAGCCACTTCTAAGCCGTTAAACTCAGTTGTATTTAAAATCCTTTTTGTGGTTGGCTGATCGTTGGCAAATAAATCGGCAGGTCTCACCAATAGCCTCGGAAATAACATTTGGGAAGCAAGGCTAAGCGAAATAGAATAGAAGCGTGAGGCATACTCATATCATTAAGAAAAGTTCAACCATCAATCCTTCGTCACCTTATGCGACCTAGGTTAATCGAATCTCTTATTTATGTTCATATAACCAGAATATATATATATATATATAAAAGCTAATATTAAAAAAATATAGAAGAGAACGATCGACCTGTCAATTCATTGTAGGAAGCAGGGCAATAACTTTCACAGTCAAGTAAAGTAGAGTTCGCAGACCCAAAATTGCAAACGGAAGAGTGCGCTCGAAGACACTGAATCGCTCTAGGAATAACGCGTGAAAGTGAAGAAGTGTTCGCATGAGGCCTATTCCAGCGAATTGACGAACGATAAGGAAAAGACAAGGCAAAAAAGTCGCGTTCGAAGAGGCCAAGGTGTCGACAGACGAGAGAGAATAGATCACGACCATAAGCAGACTTCTAGATTTAAAAATGCAAGTAAATGTATAAGGCAAAATTGTAAGATATGAAGAAAAGAAATAGGCAAGCATATCAAGACGTCAAAAAAGTTAAGTAAAATACAGATTTATTTCTTTATTGGTAGAGCTTACTTCCATTTCGAGTGAAGTGTTTGGTGAGGAGATTAAAAGGTCGATTCCACCAGAAGACGACGGCGGATTCCTCTTGACCAGCCTTCGATAGGCTTTACTGGAACATTCATGCTGACACTGTTTCCGAGGTAATCTCCTTGGATTCCGATGAAAAAGTGCTAAGCTTTCGTCCGTCATATGACGAACATCATCATAATAAAATATCATCATCACAACCAAATAAAGCTAACGAGTTAAGAAAACTCACCGACAAATCCCTAAAAAGCGGTATATATACTATATATCTGGCGTCTTTGCTGAGGTATAAAGTGATTTGGTTAGTTACGGTTATATGTAAACTTAGATGCATGTGAGTGTGTCTGTCTCTGTATGTGAATGTGCCTGTTTGTGTTCGCTTATGCACGAAACCCGCAGTGATGACTCAAAGTAATTAAGACAGCAAAAGTAACGTCTGTTTTTGGCCATCAAAGTTTAATGACCACTATTTCCTGCTTTCTACCTACATGTTATGACCATCCCTCCGATTGTGCAAGGTTGGACACACGTCAGGTTTAGTTGACGAGCCTATTTTTTGTTTTTGGTCTCAATGCGAGAGAGAAAGAGTGAGCTAAAAATACAGAGAAGTGACTATGATTAGAAGCAAGACGAGAAAAGACTAGGTGCGTCGCCCCCTTTTTGCATGCGACTCAACTCCCTCTCTATCCTTGAGTTTATTAATTAAGCACAAGTAATTTTTATTTATCTTCTTGCCGGTATTCCTTACTTTCAATGTATTTTCTATTAGGTTTATTTCGATGACTTCCATAATTTTACGTTGAGCTACAAACATACAATAATCAGCAAAACGACAAGTTTGGTACCATTTAATCTCGTGTCCCGTTTCTGCCCTGTGCTCAGCCAGCTTCGATTTTTAAATCCAACAGCCTTAGTAGACGATTTTGTGCATAAACAGCCCTTGTAGAATGGGACGACAAGTCTCTCCAGCATAAAAGCGACCACATGAACATATTATGTTGTAGCAACCAGTTCTGGATAATGGGTCAACTTTCTCTCTAAAAGTGAGCATAACTGAGGAGTGTCATAGTTTCCCTAAAAACCGTATTTATTCCCCCCTTCCTTACTTGTTCACCTATCCTTTTAGAGAAAATGCACGAAGACAAAGACATGAGAAAGGGTCTCCTTATCTCTCCTTACGTATTCAACAGTCAAAAAGCAATTCTTTATTAATCTAATGTTATCTTAAATCAAGCCTAGGGGATAATTATTTCAAAGAAATATTATTTTAAGCCGATCCAGTTCATTTTCACAATGGTCTTTATCGGCTAGTCTTATACCCTGAATAATCATAGATTTTAAAACTCCAACATTTGTTTTGTAACTATGATTGGAGAATAAGTTAAGTTAAAGCCAGCATGTGTTGGTTTTTTATATACATCTCTGCTTAACTTCTCACCTGCCCTGATCACTAAGACACCTAAGAAGGGTAAATTATTGTTCATCCCCATCTGAATTGTCAACTTAACATTGCAATCAATCTGGTTAATTAAAAACAAGAAATTATTGAAACTATCCTTGCCAT